CCCTAAACCCTAAACCCGAAACTCACGATCCTAGGCTACAAGTAGCAATGCCCGCCAGAGCCCCGAGGCCCCAGCCTCGAAACTTTTCTCAAGATCCCAACCCCGGAACCCTGCACCCTAAGGGTTTAGGGTTTATAGGGTTTAGGGTTTAGGGTTTAGGGTTTAGGGCTAACCCTAAACCCTAAGCCCCGAATCTCTGAAGCCTGAAAAGGACCCCAATCCCAACCCTAAACCCTAAACCCTAAACCCTAAGCCCTGGGCTCTAAAGACTAATGTGGATCCTGGAGCCTTCCTGAACCTATAGTCTCTGAGTGCGTGGCCGATATACTGGAACCCGATTTGAAGATGGGTCCATCTTGACATCTGTTGTTCGAGTGCAGACTATTCCGGGATCCCTGTGTATACTCTTGGTGGAATTGTGGTCATAAGTTCAGTGAGGACCCCCATCTGTTTCTTCGAGAGGTCAGAAACCTGGAGCGGGGTTAAAGTTAAAGATAGGGTTTAGAACCCAGCTGGACCTCACAAGTAGGTAAATAATAACACTTTATAAGTTTGGGGCCAGTCTTTTACCTACTTTACTTTTGAGGGTTTACATAGGTAGACTCTAGAATTGGAGATGCTACAGTGCCCAAGCCTAAGCCCGGGACCCTAAACCCAAGCATTACCTGGGCTTTGGAGTACCATACTTTAAGACTTTTTTGGGGGACCTGTTCCTTAAAGGAGCCATTACTTATAAATGAAAGTCTAGACCTTTTTCTCCCTAGTTACTTCAAAGCCCAGTTACCGGATCAAGGCACGACATGGCACCCATTACGGATGGTAAGTACAGTGTGGAGTGCTACTTGGATGCGCGGGCCTCGACCAGGGTCTCGTCTTGTGGGCCGGGGTGGGGGGGATGAGGGGTGGGCCAAATCTGCAACCTCTAAGTCTAAACCCTAAACCCTGAACCCTAAATGCTAAAGCTTCAGCAATCGACCCGTGACTCAGAATCCCAACATCCCTGAAGCCTGACCCGTACGCGCATGAACAAAGACAGGGTTGGTGTAGGGTTTATTTCTGGTGGCGGAATAAGACTTCCTGGGTTGACGCCCTCCTGCCATGTTGAGAGGAAGAGGATAGTTCCAAAAGAGTCCTAAGTAACCAAAAGATAGTAGAAGTAGGGTTTCTGTAATAGGAATTAGTATAATGGTTTGGGTTGGTATCCCTCATAATCATAATATAGATACTTAGGACCCTTTGATAGTGACGATAACTTCTCCATGTGAGCATGAGGGTCCGGGAGAAGATCGGACCATCGGCGTGTAGCATTCAGATTTTCCCGTTTGCGCCGTTTTGGTTGTGGTTCGAACTATGTGAGTTGTTTCGGGGCGGTGCTGTATATAGCCTTGTGTATATGCTTGTTTTGTCCTGGCGCATACGGCATGCAGGCCGCCTCCTGTGCTCCTAGAGGCCGGGAGACAAACACCCGAGGCCCTAAACCCAAACTCATAAATCAATACCTAACCCGCTAAACCTAAGCCCCTAAACCCTAGGCCCTAATCCCCTAAACCCCTAAAGCCCTACATCCCTGAAATGAAGCCCTAAACCATTTTTGTGGCACGACGCTTTAGAGGTTACGGCTTCGCAGAAACCTTGTGACAGGAAGACCCGAGACCGGGGCACTAGTCTCAGGTTACTATAAGGGTGCCATAGAAATACAATAAGGTTTCCGTGATCGAATAATGGCAATACTACAGTTACATAACCCCTACTATGAGGGTACTATATTCAGGTCATACTAGAGTTGTAGGGTTTAGGTGTCTAATAAGGCCGTAAACCAGTCGCGGCTAAGACGGGTACGTACTCGACAACCCAAAACTGAACTGCATCGGGTCATCAAGCTCGCCTTCGTATGTAGACTTGAAGCATGTTTCAGCCAATATGCAGTTTCCGAAAATAGGGGACCTTAATATAGTACCCCTACATGGTAGGATCCTTATTATAATGATAAGGACCTCAAAATAAGGTACCCCTTGTACCCCTAATTTTCGGAAACTCCCATATGGGTAGTTCTCAAAATTAGGGTCCCTTTTAGGGTCCTTTTTACAAAGGGTGCCGTACTATATTGGGGACCTAAAACGGGACCCTAACTTAGAAAACTACCCATATGTGTTTAGAAACCTGTCTACCGGAGCCCACCTCCCAAATCCTAAGCTGTGTGCATCCTCCTGATATCCGAAGCCTGGAAGCTGCAAAAAGGGTTTAGGGTTTAGGGTTTGGGACCCCTGAATCCTAAAGGTTTAGGGTTTAGGGTTTAGGGAACCTTAAATTCCAACCCTAAAGGTTTAGGATTTAGGGTATAGGGAACCTTCAATTCCAACCCTAAAAGTTTAGGATTTAGGGTTTAGGAAACCTGAAATTCCGTAACTCCACCTCCAGGCTTCCCCGAATCATTGACTTGAAAGCCCCTTCATGCTCCCAGAGGCCTTAGATGCCTGCCACTCCACTCTGAAGCAGACGCCTCAAGAGAGCATGTGTCGTTTTGTTGTGGTGGTTTGGGGTACTTAGGGCCTTAAGACAAAAGCCCTGACCCAGAACCCTCAAATTTAATCCTAACTGAAACACTTCCGAACCTTAATATAGGGGTCTGAAATAGTAACTTTGTGCCACTGTAGTCCCTTTAGAAGTTCACTATGATATGCAGCAAAACCTTACTTACTCTGGTCAGAAAGACCTTGTTGTTAAGGCTTCAATCTTGGGTCTTCAATGGGGCTCAGAGTTTGGGGACTGCAAGGCTTATGACCTAGGGTTTTGTGTGTAGGCTTTGGGGGTTTAGGGTTCGGGGTTTAGGGTTTCATGGGAGTGAGTATGAGATTTCCGGCTTTCGTTTCTCCGTAGCCATGGCATAGGTGATTGGTGTCTCAAAACGCATCGCTGAGCCTAGTGGCGTCGAGTGTAAGTTAGGATTCGGCTCATCCTCCGGTTGGCGCGGGGTGGAGGGGGGGGGGGGGGGGGG